CAAAGGAAGAGAAAAATATTCAAAAAATAAAAGAAACATTAGATTTCATTTGAAAAATTTGGGGAATATTTGTTAGTCTTAGTTGTGATGGCACAAGAGTCACAATCGGATCAGAAATGAACATCTCTTCTAAATGGGGGTACCTACACATGCAGTTCATACAATGCAATAAACTCCAGTGCTCCTTGAGCTGGATTACACTGCTCCCAGGCACAGTGTCTCCATATGCACCCAGGACAGCAGCACTTTGAGCCAGAGCAGAGTAGGCCCAGACTGGCAGCAAGCTCAGGGGGTCAGCCCTGGGCTCCAGGTGGAAACATCGGGCAATGAAGGAGGTGGCTGGGGCATGTGAGTGCCGAATAAGCAGAACCATGTGGCTACATGGCAGGCAGAGATCTGGTCCCCTGCTGCCTGGGATGACCAGGTGCAATTTATGCCTGTGGTCAGTGTTTACATGTGCGTTTCAGGACACAAAATGACCTCGGGGACAGTACTATCTTAGAGCAGAGTTAATTACCTCACCGATGCATGTGTAGATAATGATACTTTACTGCAGAGCTCATTGGTTAACTCTGTAGTAAAGCCCAATTGTAGATGCACCCAATGAAGGCCAAAGAATTTAAGTCCAGAAAGATAATAAACTTCTATTCAGTCATCTATGCATCAAACTTATTCTGTTTGGCTAAAGTTTATCTTTTAGATGGGTAGCCAGTGGAGCTGAAAGAAGTGGAGAAACTACAACCTGGTAGTTTATTCTAATAATTGTCCTCACTGTTAAATCTATGCCTTGTATTCAAATCTGTTTGGTTTTAACTTTCAGGTAGTCCTCCTTATATGGCCTGCCTCCCCTAGACTAGAAAGCCTTTAATAGCATTGAAGGCACTCAAACCCAAATCAGGTCACATCTCCATCTTCTTTTTAATAAGATTGAATGCAGTGATATTTTTATGTCTCTAAGTGTACAGCGTTTTCTTCTTCACAACAAAAAGATTTGTTTTTCCCTTCACTGTCTAGTAATTAGAAACAGAGAAGGCTTCAAATCAGTTGAGTCATGTTGTTTTGATACAGAATTTGCTCTGGAAAGTATCTCTACGGCCCCCGAAATTCTTTTGGCTACTTATGGATTCTGCCGGAAAGTGTCTGAAGAACGGAAGAAAAGACGTTCATTAGTATATTCTCATGACCAGAGTAGTACCTGAAAGAAGGGAAACAACATCCTTGGGTCAGCTGACCTTTCTGTTGAAGAGGTCAGCCTGATTCAGAGCTAAAGTTTATAGTTATTTTTCAGAACAGAAAACAGCAGATCATTATAAACTACTTGGATAGTTGATTTTCTTCTTTTTATATTTTTCTTTATTTGAATATTGGATGCTTTTATACCACAAGCATAATTTTACAAAAACGTCACTGTCAGAGGCAAGTTTAATTAGCAGGAGTCTTTCACTTGAATTCCATTCACTGAAGGAATAATATTCAAGGAAAAATAGTTTAAAAATGTTGTGGAACTAATAATGGTCTTTGTAGTTGGCAATATATATTTCTTTATCTACAATAACCTTTTGACTTTTTTTTAAAAAGAAATACTAACTTGGTATGGTGGTCAAGATCTTTGTTTGCAGAGGTATGCTACTATACGGATAGTGCTGGTGTGGACTCACTCCAGGTTACCAGTTCAGGGACTGCAACAATTCTTCCTCCAGTAAAGCTTAATCTAGGGCAATTTTTTTGTGGGTTTTGTTTGTTTGTTTATTGTTTTTGTTTTTCACCTATATTGGAATAATAGATAAATTATTTATCATACAATGCTTACCTTTTAGAATATTGATAATAAGTGTTGCTGTTTAAAAAAAAAAAAGTTTTTTTTTCAATTTTTTAATTCACTGCCTTTTTACTCAACCTTTTTGCTTCTCTATTAGAAGCCCATCCCTGAGAATAGCATTGTCATGCAGTGGGGTTCTTCTATGTTTGGCCAACCTAGTATTATTATTAATTTGTTTTTGTATTTTTAGTTAGATGTTTCTTTAAGAATAATTTTCAAATTTACAGTCAGGTTGCAAGTACAAGACAATAATTATCAAACAAAAAGCAACATGGCTTCTTCCACAGAGGAATAACAGCATACCCCAATTAAAAGGTCTTATCCCATCATTCAACGTGTGTTTTATTACTGTTGTAATAAACCTTACATTTAAAATTGTAGTTTTAAATTGATAAGGAAAAATTAAATCATGTCATTTTAAGTAAGCTTCAATATGGATACTCAGATATTTTAGTGAAAGATTAGAAGCTGGGATCCTGGTTTTCTCTGATAAAAACATCTCCAATTTTTGGATTAAAAAAAGTAACCCAAAAAAACACGTTTTCATGATCAAAATGAAACACCACTAATATATACACACACACACACACACGTGTGTGTGTGTTTTTGGATTACTTTTTTAATCCAAAAATTGGGGATTTTTTTTATCAGAGAAAACCAGGATAACTGCTTATAAGTAATAGTTATCCAAAATTGGTTGGCTATCCTGGTCCAATAAATATCTACTTGTGAGGTTCAATGAAGATATATTTATATTTAGTCTCAAATAGTTAATAAGTATTTGATAGCAATTAGGAGCTATTAGGAGTATCTTGAACTGAATAAGAAAATGGTTGTCTTTTTAAAAGTGCAGTATCGTGATAGATTTTCTTTTATTCTCATTAAGGTATTTGATCTATTTGAATGCATTTGATGCTCTGGAGCCCCAGTCTGAAGTTAATGTTTAGTATAACATGTACAAACTCATGCAATGGGAGTGAGGATCTTTCCATGCTTTTGGATTCCTCAAATGGCTGTTTTCTGCTAGCTGCAGCAGCTATAGAATCATATATTGGCAGTTTTGAAAATAATAAACTGGGTGGGGATGGAGGGATGGTTATGTTTAGCTACAGAACATAGGATTTATTTTTCATATAGAAATATTACATTGAATGAGGGCACATCTACAAAAGATGCTTTACTGTGAAGTAAGATAGTTTACTGCACAGTAGGCATGTATGTCTGCACATGCTTACTGCATAGTAAACCTCACTAATCACAAGTAAATTTGCTACCTGCAAGTGCAAGTAGCAAATTTACTTGTGGTTAGTAATGGGGCAGTAGCACTTGTGTAGACGTCTGACCAGGAGCAAATCTGCTGCTGGTCAGCTGGCCACCAGGGGAGCGGGAGATCACTCCCTGCCCTTGGGAGCAGCATGCTGCCAGGGTGGACTCTGCCACTAGAGCCTGGGCAAGGGCTGTGTCCCTCTGTCCTGGAAGTGGGAAACTTCAAGCCACCCCGCTTCGAGATTGTGATCGGGGAGCAGGTTCTGTGACATCATGATCACCAAGCCCCTGCTTCACCATCACAACTGAGGAGTGGAGAGCTCGCCCAGTGCCAGCTCTATGGTCATAGGGCTTGGGCTGGGAGACCCTTATCTTTCAGTGCCAGCTTTGTGACTGCAGGGCCAGTGCTGGGAGATAAGGCCTCCCGGTCCAAACACCGTGACCATGGAGCTTGGGCTGGGAGATAGGAATCTCTCAGTGCTAGCTCCATGCTTGCAGAGCTGGCAGTGGGAGCTCCCTGCTGGTGGAGACTGGGGATCCTGTTCCCTGCCCAGCTCCACGCTCGTGGAACTGCCTGGGGAAAAAGCTCCCCACCCTGTTCCCTGCCCAGCTCTGTGCTCATAAAGCTGATTGGGGAATAGGTGCCCCAGCCTCTGTCCCACAGCTGTGGAGCTGGGACTGGGAACTGTTCTGGTCAGGGGCAGGTCTGAATCCCACGCCCTGTCTGGTGATCAAGGCATGGGGCTTGGAAAGAGCTGTGGGGATGCGGTAGATCCCAGCCCCCTGCCTTGATCTACCAGTGGGGCAGCTAGCAGCAAGCTAGCTGCTAGTTGCCCCACTGGTGGATGGGATAGGGGGCTGGGATCTGACCCTTCCCTGCAGCTTTTTCCAAGTCCCCTACCCCTGATCAGGGAGCCAGGGCTAGGAGCTCCCTGCTGCTGGGGCAGGGAGACATTGTTCCCGCCTCAGCAGCAGGCAGCCCTCAGGGGCAGGGGAGTAGTATCCCAGCCACAGCTAGGATACAGCTGCCTCCTGGTCCAGTGTTTCCTGCCAGCCCCTGGACTAGCACCCAGGAGTCTAGCACTCCCCCTGGTGGTGGAAGCGGCCCATTGCAGGGCCTCAGAAAGTGGGAGCAGTAAATTAGGATTCACAGCAAATCTGCTCCTGCTTGCCTGCATTCATAGATGCCTGCCTGGGAGCGTTTATTCGCAAGTCCTTTACTTGCAAATAAACTGATTCCCAATCAAATGCATGTGTAGTAACAACCTGAATGTGTGAGGATAAAGTGCTTATGCCTTAAAGATATAGAACATTCCTAATTTTCTTCTTATTATTATTTATTTCAGGATCTTAGCTTTATGCAAACTACATTCCTAGGACAAATTAATTATCAGTATCAGGAACTAGGAACTAATGTGTTGTTTTTTTGTTTTTCCCCTTGGGGTAATATTTCCTAAACGAGTACCTTTTTCTGACCCAATTGTGTTGATTTTCTTAATATTGAATAAGATGGGTATCACAACGTGTCCTTTCAGAAGGGGAAAAGAGCACCCCTTATGCATGTTATCGGTTTCTGTCATTTAGTTTTTCTCCTAGCGACTGTCATTTTAACAAAAGCAATTTAATTATTGATACTTGTGTGATAGGGCCTGAGTGATGAAGATTGTAAATCTGTCTGTTTTGTGTGTATACTTCTGTGCTTGTGCACCATGTGCTGTATATATAGCTGCAAAAATAAGTTAGAATGTCATTCTGCATGTCTCTACCTACAAATTGTAATAAACTTCTGCTTCTGCTTTGTATTTACCCTAAAATCCCAATATTTTGAATAAAAACAATAATTATTTATAATTAAACTACTTCAGGGACTAAAAAATGCATACATTTAACTGGCATCTATGTAACTTTCTTGTAGGCTTGTTCTCAGTTCAGTGTCTGACTACTTTGCTGCGATGTTTACAAGTGATGTTTGTGAAGCCAAACAAGAGGAGATCAAAATGGAAGGGATAGACCCTAATGCATTGTGGGATCTTGTGCAGTTTGCATACACAGGTAATGTAACATGTGCAGTGTATTTCCTAGAAAGGAGAATGTTAAATTTTGTTGACTGGAAACAGATCCTCATATAGCTTTATTCATATAACAAATATTTTTGGATATGTACAAACTTTTTACTTAGATCTAACTAACTGTACATATATACAGGGAGTTTAGGTTGGGCAAAAAGTGGCTGGCATGATCTAATTTATTTCACCTGAGGATTTGCACTATGTAGATTGGATTAAACAATACCTAACCTAACCATTTGGAGCACATCTCCACGGCTCAGAAAGCCTAGCAACTCATCCCAGCCTTGGGACTGCACTTTTCATAACCCTACATCCTAATCAGAATGGGTGCTTATACACGAGCAGTGAGGTTGGTCCAATGTGCTAAAATTCCAGCGCATTGGAGTACACTTGATTAATTGAGTCTGCTGCAGCATGGCAATTACTGTGCTCCAGTGACCTCCAGCATAGATTCATAGATGTTAGGGTCGGAAGGGACCTCAATAGATCATCGGGTCCGACCCCCTGCATAGGCAGAAAAGAATGCTGGGTTTAGATGACCCCAGGGTTTAGATGCCTATCTAACCTCCTCTTGAAGACCCCCCAGGGTAGGGGAGAGCACCACCTCCCTTGGGAGCCCATTCCAGACTTTGGCCACTCTGACTGTGAAGAAGTTCTTCCTAATGTCCAGTCTAAATCTGCTCTCTGCTAGCTTATGGCCATTATTTCTTGTAAACCCCAGGGGCGCCTTGGTGAGTAAAGCCTCATCAATTCCCTTCTGTGCCCCCGTGATGAACTTACAGGCAGCCACAAGGTTGCCACTCAACCTTCTCTTGCGGAGGCTGAAGAGGTCCAGGTGCCCTAGTCTCTCCTCATAGGGCTTGGCCTGCAAGCCCTTAACCATACGAGCGGCCATTCTCTGGACCCTCTCCAGCTTATCCACATCCCTCTTGAAGTGCAGTGCCCAAAATTGCATGCAGTATTCCAACTGCGGTCT